CAACTTGAGGCCATTTCCTCTTGTCCTATCGCTTGTTACCTGGGAGAAGAGACCTTGAAATAGCAAATAATGTATATTATGAGCAAAACACAAAATTGGTTTTTAAGCATTGTCCATGTTTGTTTATATAAAATCATTACAATATAGGTACATAGATTTTGTTCCAATTGTTCACACAAAAATTCAGTCCCAAGCTTTCATCCTAGACATTTACAGCATGGCCATGTATCATTGAAGTAAGTTTCAGAATATAAAATATCAACATAATTTGAACAATAGGAAGTATATTTTATTTTTTATGTTCTTTAAGCTATTCTCTCCCTTTGTAGTCTGTTTGGTTTCATACACGCTGACTCTGAACTCTTCTAAGTGCTTCCCCCTTCTCTGCTTACACTCACCGGTATGTCACAGCCATTGATTGATTGCTGTTTGTGTTTGTTTTGGACACTTCCAGATGATTGCTACTAATAACCAGTACTAAATTCCTGAAATATCTGCCTGATTCCTTTTACAAGGCAACTTCGTTATGGTCCGTCACATGAAACACAGTAGGCCCTAGGAATACTGTGGTGCAGGAGAAAAATAATCGCCAAATGAACAGATAGCTCAAACAAAGCATTGTAAAAAGCCATCACACTAAATTCTGCATGCATCATCTACTGCATTTCAGTGAAGGCCAAGTTTCTTAGTCAGCTCTCTGAGGAGATCCGTCAGCCCTAACTATGATTCTTTTGGGACATAGTTTTGCGCCCGCTGCCCTTTTCTACTGCGTGCAGCTCGTCACCTGCACGAGGTTAGATCAAAAGGATGCAGGTACAACAGTTTAACCAAGAGGTACGCAGTGAGAATCCAGAGACCCGATTCATTTTTACTGGCTTTGTATTGGTCCTTCAAAAAATAAAAATAATTCTTAAGAGCTAGAGGGCCGTTAACTTTAAAAAAAAACAAACAAAAAAGCCCTGAAGGGTTAGGAACTGTAACCAGTACCAACAAGACACGGACTGACAGTGAGCCAGTAACCACTGGATTTGGTTTCTAGTTATTCATTTGCATGCTTACATACAGAAAGACAGGAACCAAATTGTCTTTGGTGCGGACCAAAATATGTTTAACAATGTTTTAAACTGTAATGAGAGTTAGCTGTATAGGGGCCAGTATGGTCAGAGGATGCTGTCTTTAAGAAGAATGAATAGGCTCTGTAGGTGCTGGAAATGTATCATAAATACAAGAAACAACAATGGTAGTGTTACTCAGATAAATTAAGGTTATCTTAAAGGTAACTTAAACCTACGATAATGTTTCTGTCTTATGGATAGGTACAGTCAGCTCTTCATTACCAAGGTGACAGACAGTATCTTAGATGGCACAATAGCTTGATAACCTGGTGGCTCCCCCACTAGCTAAGATGGTGGCAGCCCAGCTGCCCACGTGGGGTATCCCCGAGAACTCAGGAATCCAGAGGACAATGTGGCACAAAGACATGCCACAGAAAACACCCAAGGCTAGCTTATGTCTGGAAGACTACACGAGCTCTCCCTCTCATGGAGGAATACAAAGCTACCAGAGGCGCCTATGTGCGAAAGCAGTTCATTCCCAAAAGGGCAAGTGTGGAGGCTGGACTGATCAGCCAACGTACAGACAAATCCAATTCCTCTGCGTTACGCTCCCTGGTATTCTTACTGTGAGGCAGCATGGGCATTCTGCAGGAGCGTTTTAGTTTGACAGGCTCAGCGCTGCTCAAGAATGTCTACGTAGCCTGCTACCTTAGAAAATATTCCCCAACATAAGTCACTTTACATTTATCTACTCTGAATTCCATCTGCTACTTTATCACTGCCATTGGTTTGGCAATTTGTTATTTCTCACTTTCTCGATTTGTTCTGTTTCTTTCCAATACTTTGATTTTGATGGATCCTCCACAATGAAGAGCTCCACTGCCAGATGCTCCCTAAGTTCCTTCACAGTGAACACAAAAGTGAGGGCCATAAAGGAAAAACTGTCTCCTCCAAGTGCTTCTTTTGTCTGGTGATCATATCCTGGCCCTACTGATTTACCATCAGGGGATTTGCTTCTATGCCTTTTGCAAACTGGTCCTCGAGCATATTTATAGCCTGCTTTATAGCATCCACCCTTTCCTCCATTCTCTCCCAAGCACTGTGAGGCTTGTTAGCATTGGTTTTTCTCTACCTTCTTATACCTCGCTGACTCCATGTCTGTTTTTCATCCCTACTCCTCAACAGGTTGCTCTAGGGCATACTTACCCGGTTCACTGTTTAAATCTGGCCCTAGAGAGTACCTATTTGGGCAGAAAAAAAGAGGTAGCATCGTTGCTCAATAAACTGTTTCAAAGCTCTGCTGACTGAACTTCATCACAAATAGCAAGGAGTAGTAGGATAAGGTGAGTCATCGGTCTGTACCCTCATATGGTGCAGAACACGAGAAGCAGCAACAGACCATCGTAGAGTGAGATTGTGAATTGTGGCAGAAAACGTTCTCATCGCGCCTTTGAAATCATCTGCACAGATACTGAACCCATTCCCATCCCCACTGCCATTCTTATCCAACAACTGCCAACTGGAGACAGATGGCCATCTCTGCATTAATTCCTCATACTATAAGATGAAATACTTGAAAAATCAAGCAAACTTCTTCCTGTAAGTTTGGTTTTTTCCTTTTCACACTGCACTCTTCCATCAGCTAGATGAATGAACTTTGCTGCAAGAAACAATACTAGTTTGTCTGTCAAACCAAACTAGCTCAAAGAAACTACGTAGTTATTTTTGGTCAAATGATAGCAGAGTTCAAGAATGGTAAAACACACACAGAAACCAGACTAGAAGATGGACTCTAGGATTGATCTTGAATGCTAATATCTCCTGATAAATCCAGCTATTTCACAAAGCTCTGTTGTATTTACATGCGAGATTTCAAATCAGTTGGAAAAGCAGTTTGGAAAAAAGTTGGAAAAAAACTTTTAAGCATCCAATTCAGTAGCACGGCAAATAGGATAAATTTGATATTTCAGTAAAAGTGGGACTGTCAGATTTGTATGAGTTTCCAGACGCAAGTCATAACAAAGTAATCTAGTTAAACCACTGACTACAGTGACTACAACATAATTAGTTGTTAGAACCTTACTGAGGAAAACCTTGCCAGAAGGTTAGCACTGTGACACTAAGCTCCAGTGAGGGGAAAGAAAGAATAATTTAATTAATTCCTGGAAGAAAAGGAAATAAAAATCCATGATGATAGGCTAAGCCTCTCAGATTTAGATAGCATGTATAGCTCAGAAGTAGCATAAAGTGGTATTAAATTGCAAGGGATAGCAGTTTATCTGCATTTAGACAAAAATGCAAAAACAACCAAGACCAAGCGATAACAGAATTTGGTAGGTAAGAAGAGATAAACCAAAGATTAAGAGAGAATTTGAAAAGCAAACAGTACAGATGCAAACAGAAATAAAAACTCCCTCTACATACTTAAAAAAAAGGAAGTTGGTTACAGACAAAATATGCAATCACTTCACTGTCCAGAAACGAGGCTACAAGCATCTCCGCGTTACCCTTCACAGCTTCACGCCTTCACTGGGATCCGCTACAAATGAATCTTCTGAAGTCATGGGAAAGAGGCCAACGGTCAAGACTACGGAGCACCACCTAATTTCTTAAACACTTTTGACCGTCTCTGACAGAGATATTAAATGTTCTGTTAGCGATATAACTCAGAATACCAACAGAGTGCAAGGAGGAAGACACTTGCAAAATATGTTTCCCTAGGTTTTGTCTCATCCTAGGCATGTGGTCTAAGGCAGCACGGGTGGTTGGAGGGAGGAGAAGCATTGCTGCAGAACAGCAGAGCATTGGCTTGGAAAGCATTAGTAAGAAAAGGTTAAAAGGAAGAGTCAAGAGGGATAGTAGTGCTATGTCTGAGGATTATTTTACTTTTACGGGGAGATTTGACATTAGAAATGTCATGGAGTATAAGTGGGGATTTTACAGGAAGGTTAGAGGGAAGTTACAGTAAGAGATTTAATGTGAAAGGTTTAAAGAGAGGTTTTTGAAATTTTATGGATAAAAAGAGGAGCAGACATTTCTACAAAAGGATGGCAGTAAGATTTCACTGAGTCATAGCAATTTAAAAACTGCATTTATGGAAGGATAGTGCAGAACTAAGTAGGTAGATAGGCTAGTTGGGGTACAGCGATGGGTGTGAGGATTACCCAGCAGGTGAAATTTAAAGCAGTAGAGAGGGAAGATTTAATGGGACAGCACTGGAGCGAGCTTAATAAACCTAGTCTAATAAAGCAAGAGCGATAAAGCAGGTAGAACAAGTCTGTGACTGAAAAAGTTTGTGTTGGGAGAAGGAACATGAAGAATGGACTTCAAAGGGGATCAGATAATGGGAAGCAGTAGATAGGTGCACTAAGCGAAAGAGGTTCATGGAAGTTCAGGTAAGGCAGGCAGAGGTGGGGTGAAGTCCGGAGCGGAAGGAAGAGTATGCGTGCTTAAGAGACAGGCTGGCAAATACAGGAAACTCAACAGAGGCTTTGGGGAGAGCTTCCAAGATGCTGAAGAGGTGAGAGGGAGGGAGTGTTTCAGTGGAGAGGACACCAGCACCAGTGGGTATAACAAATGTTTGCTAAGCTTGGAGCCTGACAGTGACAAGCAGACAGACATTGGGCAGGGATTTGGATGTTGTCCTTAATTTCCTCAGCCAATAATTTGTTTTTGTGTTCAGTATTTTATTTTCCAGCCCTTGAAAACTGCCACTTCAGAAAATATTATGGCTCAGATAAACTTGTACACAGAACCTTAATAAGGTTGGATAATTTGGTTGAATCTCTAGATGAAATTACAAAGAGTCTTAACCAGCTTGCAACCCTTTACAAAGGACCAGCTTTAAAGTGCCCAACCCCAAAAGGCACTTCATTTCCTCAAGATTTTAAGAATAAATGATGGGTTTTATTCTAAATTGAAAAATGAAGTGTTTGTTTTTTGCCTGGCAAAGGAGATCAAGATATCCTACCCAGCCCTGGTGGTAACTTTACCTCTAGGGGAGAGTCTCATTCCGTAATAATGAATATATAAACCCCACTATCTTAAGGCTTAGGGACCCTTGTCATTACGCCAGCTTAAAACATAGCTAATAAAATGAATTGTATTTCTAGGCCTTAAGAATATCCTGAAGATTTTTTTGGTAAGAAAAGAGAAAAGTGCTGTTCTAAAAACGTTTGCAAGCTATTAAGCTGTTCTCCGTTGTGGCAGAGGAAAACATGCAGCGTGATACTTAAACTATTTGGGACTTTATCCCCAAAAGCTCTCCAGCACAGACAACCTTATTGAGATGCAAACATCTGACAGTCAGCATTTTTGTATTGGGCACTTAAGCCCAACCTCACTCACCACAACATAACTTCTGTTAATATATAACAGACTGTAAGGAACACAAAGCCTTTTTGGAACTAAAAAAAAACCCACAATGTTTTTTATAGAAGATTAGAGAAAAAAAAAAAATATCCAACAGCAACGGTAGATGCAGCTAAAGCCTGGCAACGGCACCTCCTGCACATAAGAAAGGTGGGCAGATAAGATGCGAAGTGGGGCGAGCACGTCTCAGCCTTGCTAGCTGCTAAGGACTGCCACAGAGAGAGGGGCCCTGGCAGCAGCTGGGGAGACCTGGGGTAGCAGAGAACTGAGGGTATCCTAAGAACTAAAACACATTGCTGTATTTCTCCGTATACACAACATACTCTAAGTAACGACTTTCTAATCTGACTCTTTTTACTCATTTTTGGCCAGCTGTGCTGCTCATGGGGTGTAACAGTGAGGGGCGAAATCCTGGTATTGTCACTGTTACATGATTCTCTCGAGAAAAGCTCTTCACCGTATAAAAGGAAAAAAATGACAGAATGGGAAAGACAGACAATTCACATGAAGGATCCTTTTTCTAAATTGTGTTTTCTGAAAATACAATCGAGTAGTTTTCTAATTTAAAAACTCTACAGATAAGAGTGCAGGTAAGAACGTTTTTTTCAGGAGAGTGCTTAGTCAAAACTTTCGTTAGGTCAACTTCGTGGTAGGCGCTTGATCTGCAAATAGAAATATGACCAAGTTTACTAATTTTGTATCGCTGAGTATTAAAGAGTAGAGCTAGTACAGAACTATGTTTTCACCATCTACTTTTCTGCCTATTTACAGCTTTCCAGCATAACACAGAACAACTGGCCAGTTCTGTTTTGGGATTTTCCCTTAGCCTGAAAGATAAGAGGTTTTGTCTGCACTGAGGATCCCGATACCTCAACTTCCATATATACAAACATTTAAACACCCCTTCAAAACCAACCGCCACACCAAAAAAAAAAAAACCCTAAACCCAAACCAGAGCAGAAATGAGATACGAGTTAAGTGAAAAGTCCAAGCAAGTGAATGATCACTGGAAGGGCAGAGAAGGCTGGTAGGGTGAGACAGTGCCCACGGCTGTGGAAGGGAACGGGGTAGAGACATACCTAGGGTGAAAGTGGTTGCATGGACTAAGCCTCTTATTTATGCTGTAGGGTGCAGAGAGCCTAGCGCCAGATATTTGGGGCCCCATTTTGCTAGATATTTTTAATCTATATCTGTAGCATCTTTTTTTTTTTTTTCTCCTGTAAAAAGAAACCAAAAAGTGTTGCAAAGTTTATATTCTGAACTCCTAATGAATTTTATTAACCAGGCAGACAAATTCAGGACTGAATCCGAAAGAGAGAAAAAAGGTGAGAACGTGCTCCCAGCTTTTTTCTCTCTTTCGGATTCAGTCCCGAATATGACATACTGGATTCAGCAAAACCAAAAAATCTGAGTTTTCTGTGCAGGTTTAGCCATTTGATCACCTACACAAACCGTTTAACGGCTACTGCACACTCCCATCACATTCCCTGCACGTGCCTTGTTCCTAATATTTAACCCGGGTTAGGTTTCCCCACTGAAGGCTGTATTACTTCTAAACGAGACACCTTTCAAGCCTTTGCAGCGTGACTCGTAACATCACGAAAACACAGGCTCTTCCCCAACCTTCCGCCTGCGGGAGTGAACTCCACTAAGTAACTTCGGTCTGCCCACCAGAGCCGCAGATGAGAGGAAGTTATTATGCTGCGGGAGCAATTAACTTCAGGCTCTTCCCACCGTGCATCGACCCCATTAAACGACGAAGCCAGAGCAGCGGCAGGCACCACGTTTTCAGGCCAAACCCGCGCTTCTGTCCCCAGCGCGGCGTTTCCTTAACGACGGCCGAAGCCACGGGTTGACCAAGCCGGGCTTTACACGCGGCTCCTTGCCTCGCCGCTGGTG